TAAGTTGTTCAAAATGTTTTCCACTTTCCTGTAAACAATAACAAAGTCTGTTTTCAAACTCCTCCCTAACATTTCGAAAATCTTCACCGGGAATTGACCGGCATTCTGCTGTAATTTGCCTTTTATCATCATCAGTATCAGTAGGTTGTGTTTCATAAACAATGGATTTAAGATATCCCCAAAGAAAGAAGTCTATGGGTGTTAAATCCGGTGATCTTGGAGGCCATTCAATTAGTCCCCTTCTGCCAATTCATGTACCCGGAAATGTCTCGTTTAACCTCTATCGGATGTTGCCACCTAATCTTCTAATCATTTGTACTACAAGGAGACCCATTGCAATAATTTTTGTGTAAACACTAGTCTGAAAACCAAAATCTCAATGCAGGCATGTTTAATTGTTTCTGCAACATTAAAGGACGATTATTCGGAAATCTCTCGACAAAAAGCAACAAAGCAGGAAACCACTGAAAAGAGAAATAAACGCCCTTTAAAACGATGTGCCACTTGACCCCCATTCCTATCTAAGATTGTAAGGGTAACATCTTCCCCTCCTAGGGAGTTGAAAGAAAAAGGCTAAAAATATTCATTTAAAAGTATCTCCCTTACAAATAAAATTGACGGGTCTTTCCGATTTTTCATATTTTGTGCAAGAAAGATATTAAGGGGTGGGAAGTTTTAAAATTGACACAGTGTATGTTCAGAGAAAGTTTTTGTTTTATTTTTATCTGTATTATCATTCATCAAAGTTAGAAAAACTTTTTTTGACACCCTGTATGCTGAATACATTTCGGACTACCCTGTATATAGACAGGGTTTAAAATATTTATTTTGAATATTGTGAAAATATTTAAATCAATTTTATGGAATTTTTAGACAGAATCATCTTACTAGAAAGTTAATTATAAAATGTATAGACAAACTTTCAATATAATAATTATATTTAGATTAGTAAATGCTTTCACTATAATAGCTATGGGTTGTTGTTAAAGTTGTGTATGTTAAAGAAAGATAGGTATATTAAAGTGCAAATAATATTTTTATTAAAAAATAATTAAGTAATGATAAATATATAAAAATAGCTGACTGCTATGACAATTACTTATACGTAGCATTACTTATACGTTCATTACTAAGGTAAATATAAAACAAAAATTAATTATTATATAAATACACGTGCTCAACAGATAAGTGAAGGTGTTTCTGATGATTTATGGGTACACTCTAACTGGTCCTATAATTGATTGTATCAGTAAGTGTGATTTTCTTATTAACAGCTATTAAATTTAAAAAAGTGATATAATGCTGTTTTAATATAAATATTATTTTCAATTTATTTCCTGTAATCTACATTTCCTCTTTCCTCAATAGCCTGGAAATTTTGTGGAATAGGTACCACCCAAAATACACACTTTTATGCGAATACGTAATAATTTTAACGCTTAAATTTATTTAAGAAGAGAAAAATTTTTGAACCTAACCAACAATTTGTATTTATAGTAGCACAGTAATTTTGTTAAATGCTTTACATAGACCGTTATTCAGAAGCTACAAACTTATCGATGAAAATATGCATGAAAATTTTCTTCCTAGCACACAACCAGATGATATTGGTACCCAGGTACGGTATCAAGTTTATTATAACGCTTTTCTTAGCTTCCTACCACTTCCTACCACGCGATCCTTACCACATTTTTTCTCGCTAGCTCGTGCGTCAAAGCATGGTCATGGCCATGTCGTGTCAAGGCCGTGGTGTGTCACGGCCTTGAATTTTTACACCCATCGCGCGTAAAAAAGTTTCACTTCAAAATCGTCATTGAATTTGCAATAAATTCGTCATTGTTGCAAATTCGTCATTGAATTTGCAACTGCATACAGGACGGAAAACAACACTCTAAAAAACATAATCGCAAGTGCTAGACAAAACTACGAAAAATCTATCGCCTCTTCCAGCTCACCAAAACAATTTTTTAAATATATTAATAGGACTCTGTCTACAAAAGTATCCAGTTTCACTCTTAAAAACCCCAACAATGGATTACCTATCATGGACGACTGTGACATTGCTGAGGAATTTGCACACCAGTTTGCATCAGTCTTTACGACAACCAATGACTCTTACATTCCAACGCTTTCACAGAGTTCTAGGCTTCTGCAAGAGATTACTAACATAGAATTTACAGAGCTCAACGTTAGCGAAGCCATTAAATCATTAAAAACTGACAGCAGCCCGGGTCCAGATAGTATACCGACTGTTTTTCTTCAGAAATGTTGTCATGCCCTCGCACAACCTTTAGCATGTCTATTTAATGATTTACTAATATCTGGCAAATTTCCAGATACTTGGTCTCTTTCTTTCGTTACACCGCTTCACAAAAAGGGAGACAGACAGTTAGCTGGTAATTACCGGTAATTAATTAGTCTAACTAGCTGCATCTGTAAATGCATGGAAAAGGTAATCATCCGCACACTTACTCCATACCTAATGGAAAAAGATATCTTACCAAGCACACAGCATGGATTTCTTCCTGGTCGATCCACAATAACAACATGACATCTTGTCTTAGCGATTGGACAGCAGCCTTTGATAGAAACCAACAAACAGACGTCATCTATCTTGACTTTGAAAAGGCATTTGATAAAGTACCCCACAAGATGCTTCTTTATAAACTAAACCACTACAGCATAAGAGGGAATTTATTCAAACTTATATCAAACTTCCTAACCCGACGCTACTTCCAAGTCAGAATAAACGGATCTCTTTCAACTAAATACAAAGTGACCAGCGGTGTTCCTCAAGGCTCTGTGTTGGGCCCACTGTTGTTCCTCCTGTATATCAGTGATCTGGCAAGAGGCATAAAAACGAATATCATATTTTTTGCGGATGATACAAAGTTATATGCAAATCCCGAAACGAGCTACGTCAATCTTCAGCATGATCTAAAGTTGGTGCAATCCTGGGCCAAACAATGGAGAATGAAACTGAATGAGGACAAATGCACTGTTCTTAGCATTGGAATGAATTGTACGCACAAAACCTACACCCTAAATGAATTAAGTCTAAGACATGTAGAACAACAGGAAGATCTAGGGATTACAGTTACTGGAAACCTAAAATGGTATGTGCATATATCAAAGATTACTAAAAAAGCAAATTCTCTTCTTTATTTCATTCAAAGAGCATTTCAAGACCGCTCTATTGATCTTATTTTAAAGATATACAAGTCCTACATTAGACCCAAAATAGAATATGGTCAAATAATATGGAGTCCCTATTTTCAGAAGGATATTGATCTCATCGAGAAAATTCAACGCAAGGTGACCAAAATGCCCCATGAACTTAAGGATCTAGAGTATGAAGATCGTCTTGCGATGTTAAATCTCACCACATTAAAACAGAGGCGTTTGCGGGGGGACTTGATAGAAACTTACAAAATTCTAAATTGTTTCTACACTTGCCCATTAAAACTTAGAGGCCACAGCAGACGCCTGGAAAAGGAAAGATCGTCCAAACTCCAGCGAAAAAAATTGTTGACTAACCGCATAGTGTACCCGTGGAACTCGCTGTCAGAAGAAAGTGTTTCAGTACCAACTCTCAACTCATTTAAAAACAAAATTGATCAAGAAATGAATACCTTGAGTTCTGTACATTTGCATTATGGCCAGTAAACTCGAAAAAATTACGCGCAACATAAAAAGACAGTAGACTCATCGGTATTTTTATACCGCTTTCTATTGTGTAAATAATAATAATAATAATAATAATAATAATAATAATTTGGTAAAAATGCCCTATCAAAATGGACCGCGTAAGTGATGACGGCACGGCAGCCATTTTTGTTCGATTTAGTTCCAAACAAAACAAAGTGCTGTCACTGTCAATTACTATAACAAACTTAAATTTTTTTGTATTTGTGTATTTTTCTGAAAAATTAGAGGAGATCAAGTAGGTAATTATTAGTATTTTGTAGATATATTAAGTGATAAACTTTCTGCAAAGTAAAATTAGCATATTACTTTATTCAGATAGATTAAAATCGTTTTTTAAATAAAGTTAAGTTAAAATGCTTAGTTTTCGTTTTCCATGATAGTAGGTCATGGCTTCTGTTAAACATGTTCTACAATGTGGAATCAAACTAAATGAAAAAGTTATATTCAGTTATAACGCAGGAAAATCTTTTGACTTCTCAGAAGGTGGATCAATATGTAAAAGGTAGTATTTATTTTCTAGTCTTTCATTGGAAGTTAATTATGGAATAAATAAATATACATTAGGTAAAATCTATAAAATTTCAGATTAAAAACAGAGAAAGGTATGCCTCAACCTACTATCTCTTGGCTACATATTCAACCCAGTAGATCATCTATAACCATGTGTGAAGAGGATTCATCTAATAAAAAAAAATTGTGTTCAAAAAATGTAATGTAACGTAACCATTCATGTAATGAATTGGACGAAGTATGTTTCCACCTGGCCAATATATTTTTTGCTATATTGGAGTTTTCTCCTTAGGCATATAGAAGATAACAATATTATAATGGTATACATAGGTATTCATACAAAGGATATACATATTTTTATCTTTATTTGAAAATTTATAGTTCACATACTTTCGGAAATGGCAAATGTGAATATTTTAGTAATTTGTAAAAATAGTTACATTTATTTGTATAATTGTTATATTTTTAGTTTTAACTATATTCTTTAATTTTATACTAAATGTGAATTTATATTTTTCATGGGTATATTTATTAACTTTGCAATTAATAAATGAGTAAACAAAAAAGAAAATTTGTCTCGTTTTAAGTAATTTAATTTTACGTTACATACCTACCTATTTCAAATATTGAAACATTTATATTGCAATAAGTAACATTTTAAGTCACGTATGTTATTCAGTCAAGTAAATTAAAAACATTTAGCTAGAATACTAAAGTTTTTTTATTAAAACTAAAACTAAAAGCATAAAAATGTATTATTTATAAAAAAAATATGTCGTAGATTTTAGATATTTGTTTTCGTCCCTTCCTCTTTATTTCCTAGCAGTCCATCGACTTTGGATATTGGTAACTGATATATTATAATGTCCATGAATGCATAAGGTAGCTTTGTGATGGCATAAGTATAGGCCTCTTACATTCTGATCTATGAATTGAGCTATCTTCATCAAGTTCTTCAACATTTTGTACTTTTAATTACACATATTTTGACCCACCTGAACATTAGATATAAATACGATCTCCCATACTGGTATGTACTTTAGCTTTTAATAGTCCAAAGCTTGCCACAAAATGAAAACTTTTTCAACTGGTTGGATTTCAATGCATTTTCTCCTGTGAAAATAAGTTTCATCTCGTCAGCTTTCAGCTTCCAAAAGGTAGTCCACAATCCACAATTGTACTGAATATAAAATTAATATTTAACAAAAACAGTAAACAATACTACGAAAAACGAAAACTAAGCATTCGAACCTAGCTTTATTAAAAAAAAAATAATCCATCTGAATAAAGATATAAAACTAATTCTTGATCTCTGCATCTGAATAAAGATATAAAACTAATTCTACTTTGCAGAAAGTTTATCACTTAATATATTTGTAAAATACTAAAAATTACCTGTTCGATCTCTTCTATTTTTTTAGAAAAACACACAAATACACAAAAAATTTAAGTTTGTAATTGACAGTGACAGCACTTTGTTTTGTTTGGAACTAAATCCTAACAAAATGGCTGCCCTGACGTCACACTTACGCGGTCCATTTCTTTTAACATCAGTACCAATCACTAATGTTAAAATCCTCGAACGGTATTGCCAAGTATTTTAGTCATTGTCTATCATTCTTTAAACTTATCAAGTATCAGTGCATATTTATTTCTAGACCAATTCGGCATCGTCCGCTAGACAGCGCGATGGATTAAACATCATTACTTTGACATTAACATATTCTAGCCCGCGGTGATCTCTGCGTTTACGTAACCACAGATTAATAATAAAACGCTTTTCATCTTCAATACGAACGAAGAACGCCCACTTTTGCTTTCTTCTTGTCTTCTGCACAGTAGGCATTTAAGGATGACGATCCTTATTTACATTATTATTAAATTTGTACGAAAAGAGAAAATGGCATTTGGTGTAAGTACCGATCATTTGGTTTTATTGATCCGTACTACTTAATAAGGTATCGCAAAACTGACTATTTATTTTCTGATTAAATTGAGTAAAATAATTTCGATATAGAAGTATTTTGGGTGGTTTAATACTCTCCAATCTGAAGAAACTGCAATATTACCTGTAGTTGAATGAAAGCGAAATGCATAGGGTTTTTACCAATATTAAGTGGCACACCTACACAGGCTTACGTTTTGGAAAAAGAAAAAAAAAAACACTTTATATGTATATAGGAGTTGTAAAGTTTTACCTGAACCGCTTAAAAAAAGCGGTTCTAGAAAAAGAAAGCTATGTAAAAATAAACAGAAGACAATCAAAAAATTAAAAAAATTATACCTTCATATTTTTTTAATGAAACACCCCGTATATTTCAAGATTTTTTTTGAAAAATAGTTTTCTTCTGATTTCAAACATATAAGTTTGTCTATATTTACGTGAACCGTTTTTGAATATATATATTATACAATTGTGTAACTTCTTACCCTGTGCAAAATGAAAAAGATCGCTCAACAAATAATCAAGATATTGGCTTGTATCCATCTTAAGTGGGACACCCTGTATATAGATAAATGCAAAATCACTTACCTTGGTTCTAATTTCGAAGGGACCTTTGTCACTCTCGACCACTCCGTTGACGCAGTTGGCCTTTGGCACGCAGGCGCGGTCGAATCCCACGCATCCCGAACCGGAAGCGGCCACTGCTGCTCCTCCTGCTCCGCCATTTTGCCCTGAAACATCGATGCATGTGTGATATCCGGTGCGGTGAACGGCCTTAAAGGGCACGGACGGCTGAACGCCGATAAATCCGTTCTCATCGTGAATCTTGTCGCCATTGGCTGTCGACAAACAGACCAATTAGGACAAGATCGAAGATAGAGAGCTTTATATAATAATTATTAAAACTAAAGAGCTAAAGTGCTTATCTCCAGTGCTTTATTGTTCAACGTCTGCCAGTGGGTTTAGGGCAACAAATTCTCTTAGAAGGGCTAAGTTATCATCTGCTGTAACCCTAAGCCTCTTTATAGGTTCTTTAATATTGGAAGAGGTGGAATCCATATTTTGTGCCATATTTATTTAATTAAAACTAATCCCAGCTACTTAAATATCAAATTACTTAATAAAACTAAAGTAATAATTCAAAACAATTCAAACATAACCTAAAATAAAAGATCTCGCCGGCCGGCCCCGGTTGTCAAATACCCGCACATGCCCATTTAAGCAATTTTTAAACGTTATTTAGAAATAGCGCTTGGTGTAATTGATCCGCAAATTACGTCAGGCGGTAACGTTAATTAGCGGGCGTTACGTTAAAAATTGACTCGCGCATATCGTAACTGTCAAAATAAGGTACGGGTAAATACTGCATGACGTTATTCGGTTTACCGATATCTCTCTAACTGTCAAAATAAGGTACGCGTAAATACTGCATGACGCTATTCGGTTTTCAGATATCTCTCTAATAACTGGGCCGGTCAGGCGCTATGTAAAATTTTAGAGGCCATAAGTGGGCGTGCTACAAACTAGTAACCTAACTAGTGTCCGATTCCGAAAATTGGAACCACGAAAAACAATAAAGAAAAAACAAATTTTATAATCTGTGGTACTCCGAGTAGTACCTACTCTCTACCCTAATAGAAAGTACCCTTTTGAGGGTTGTTACGGAATTTTTCATAATCGCCATTCGCTTTGGCATTAAAATGTGTGTAAGAGTACCAAATATCAGAAAAAACGGTTTACCTATGTTAAAAATAAACAAAAAATATTATTTTTTCGAGGGCTGTAACTTCTTAAGGAAGCATTTTAGGGCTTATGTTCATAGGAACTTTTTGTTTTATTTTGATCTGTAGAAGCAAAGATCACCCACCAAAGTAAGATACACTATTTTTTGACACCCTGTATAGAATGAGTCAACCACTATCATAGTACGTATTCCTTCGTAATGTAACTATATTTTTATAAAAATTGTTTGTGGGTATCTCAGTGGGCGTATGAAAAGCGATATTTTGTTCAGTTAATTTAAGTAGCGTAACTGACCGTATAAAATTCCACCTACAAAGTGACTACAGAGAGTATTAACAAAAAAAATTGGAGAAATATAACCCACATTGTAAAGAAATGAAGAATATACCTTGTCAGTGAAAAATGTATAATTAAACCAAAACATTTAATAAGTATAAATAAGTATACAAACCAACCAAACACATATGAGATACTAAATACTAATACAGACAAAAATCTGACAAAAAATGATAATATCTTTTAACGATTTTATTCCTTGTACAGGGTGGGTCAAATTCGACGCTTTTAAATGGAAACACCCTTTTCTATAGGAGATAGACGAAAACTAATATCGGTGTCTGGAGCTCAATTTTCATCAAAAATATGATGGTGAAAACCGCATATCAATACCGTTTACCGTTACCGTTTCGGAGTTATGGGGTGTTTTTCAAAAATGTGCATTTTTAACAAATCGCTGTAGCTTTTTTGTTATGGAAAATTTTGTATTTCTATGAAAACATTTCCGAAGCACCTTTTGACGTAGAATTTAATGGTTCAAGTATAATTTTTTTAACATTAATAATTTAAGAGTTATCAACAGAAAAATTGATTTTTTATTTGGGACACCCTCTATATTTTTAATTAACTGAAAAGATTTTAAAATTACCTTTCCAAAAATATAGCACACTTGATATTTTGTTATAATCCCCTTCGAAATACAGAATTTTTGAAAGTTCGCCACTTTTAATTAGTAGGCTTTGGACCCCTTATTGATGATATGCCCTTAATGGAACTCGAAAACATATTTTTTCCAGCAAGTCTATCTCCTATAGAAAAGGGTGTTTCCAGTTAAAAGCGTCCAATTTGACCCACTCTGTACATTATATACAAGATACGAGTAGAATAAGTTTAAAAGAAAAACATTCCTAGTATTGATTCTTATATGTAGACTAGAATCTGTTAAATACAAAATATTTGCAAAGATACTAAAGATACCAATGAATAATATCAAAAAATCTAGAAGTGCATAGTTGAAAATTAAATGAAAAATGAATCAAATAAAAAAAGCCAAAAAAAATAATGCAATATTTATCTTTAAAATATTAAAATATTTCTTGGTAATAATAAGAAACTTAGAAATAAGAGAAGAAATACATATAGTTCATATCAAATAAACTTTTAGTCACGTGATTAAGCTGGCCGGCACAGTGTTGCCCACTTTTTACATATTTTCTTTTAATGAAATTATTATTAATAATATTAATTATATTAATTATTTACTTCAACAAAACGCATCTTGTTAACAGCAGTTAAAGAACCTAAAGGGCCATTACTACCGCTTTCCCCTTGAAAGTATTCTAATAAGTTGCGATGAGTTTTTTACGGCTATTAAGCTATCTTGTACACTACGCGCCAAAAGAGGCTCTAAAAAGAACAATGTTCGACTGCAAGGTATGCTAGTATTTTTTTTAAGCATAAAGTTTCACAACACAACTCATTTAAACCAAAAACTCGTAATACAAAACTAAAGTGTCAGAACAAAGGGCAATGTCAGGAAATAAATAAATAAATGTGGCAATTTTATATTTTTTACAACAGAGCTACCACCTGAATCCGCAGCAGGAAATTAAAATTTCAATTAGTTAGCATTGCGCGGTGCCGAATAGGTCCATGATTGGCGAGCATGAATTTAAAAATCGCGCCCTCGATTACGTAACTAAAAGTTTAATTGGTATCCAATATATCTGAATAATTCGCGAATGGTTATGATAGAAATTGGTCGGTATAAAAAATAAGAAAATTACTCTACAAGTTTAAACTATTTTAAAATGCAGACATAGATTCCTTATTAAAAAATAACTTACCATTGTTTGAAATGTGTCCTTTTAAAAATGGATTGTTGCTAATATCGATTTTGTTAATACCAGCTTGAATATGTTTAACTCCGGAAGTATTTCCAGTTGAAAGAATCGAAGAATTGGCTTCTTCAAAAAATTAAAAGTGCTGTCTATTAACTCAATAGTTGCTCGTAGGAAATTAAAATATACTTCAAATGGCAGAAAAGAAGCTTGAAACACGATGAGCATAAATGTTGAAAGCCAAACATGCAAAAGCAATGCAATAATAATTCTCTTAAATATTTTTTTAAAACTAAATATAAATATCGATAGATACCAAAATATGCCAAAACAAAATGTACATCAATCATCAATGCAAATTATATTCTTTTAAAAAAGATTTTAATAAAATCAACAACAGGGGTTCAGACTTGAAAAGAATATCGGAAATTAACGTTTATACCATTTAGAGATGAATTTTTATTTAAATTATTATTACTAGTACTAATCATGAAGAGTGTTCAAGAAATATATGACATAAACCTTAAAAACATATTAAAATATTGTCCTAGAGGAATTTCTATGCAATCAAATTTAAAAGAAACCCACATGCAGTATTTTTTTTTTAGTCAAAAAAGTAATATTTTCAGCTCAATAAGCTTCAATACAATGAATTTTTCAAATATTATTCATCAAACCTGATTTGGGTTTGAACAATATACAGGGTTGTTCACCACATACGACACGGAGTATTGTAGCTAAACGATTAGATTTTTACAAATTGTAAGTTTTGGGTTCGTTGAAGGACTATTAGAGCTACAATTTAAAAATATTTTTACAAGATACAGAGTGTCCCAAATAAATAAAAAATATCAAAGTTGTATTTTTTTAAATGGAACGCCCTGTATATTATTACATTTTTAGTTTCTTTTAGGAGAATCAGATGCACAATTTAATTGTCTATCAAACTGTATTATACCACTTTTTACCTATCCCTTCAACTTTTCGTAGAAAATGCATTTTCTTATAATTTAGACTTCATTTATCTAACAAATGTACAAAATGTACAGGCTAATAATATTATCCTTTTTAGCAAAACGATAATATTACTAGTCCATTTGTATGCAAAAAGAAAACAATTTAAATCTTTATAAAAGAGAATACCATTAATTAAATATATCACCAGTATTTCCTGTATTAATTGGTTGGTTCTCTTTAACAAATATTTAAACAGTTTTTTTTTTATTTTTAATAAAATAAACGATCTATATCGACAATATTAGTATCTGTACTCTTTAAAAATTTGGTACATCTTTAGAAATAATCTAAAATGTCAGTATTCCATGGGTATATTGATAAATGAGTTTTAAATTACAAGAAAATAATAGATAGGTAAAAAATGGCATAATACAATTTGATAGTTAAATTGTGCATCTGATTCTCATAAAATATAAAGGGTGTTCCATTTAAATTAAACAAGTTATTGCCGTTTAGAGCTAGTAATTATTTAAAATAAATTTTTAGACACTCTCTATAAGGTAGTACAATTTTTATTATTGCAACACAACCACTGATCAATAAATAAACTTCAGTAAATATTTAGTATTAAAAACTTTGATACCCTCGGAGAAATGAAGCCGTAAAATTTATACTGCAATTTCACAAAATTGAAAATATTTCAAAAACGGTAAAGTTTAAGTGTAATAAACCTTAATCAAATTTATCTTTATTTTAATCGTAGAAACTAAAAATGTAATAACATACAGGGTGTTCTATTTAAAAAAAATACAACTTTGATATTTTTTATTTGTTTGGGACACTCTGTATCTTGTAAAAATATTTTTAAATTGTAGCTCTAATAGTCCTTCAAAGAAAACAAAACTTACAATTTGTAAAAATCTAATCGTTTAGCTACAATACTCCTTGTCGTATGTGGTGAACAACCCTGTATATTGTTATAGGAATTTTTCGAATTTTTATATCAAATCATTAGGAGTATTAAAGTCATCGAAAGTTATTATACAAAATATCCATGCCAAATAGAAATTACTCACCGGCATGTCCATTTGAATTAGAGGAATTTTCAAAATAAAACGAAGAACCGTTTTGAACAAATGGATTTTTGTTTATATTGATATTAGTGTGAGCACTACCGGATATGGAGTTTGCACCTTCAAGAGTTTGTCCAAAGGAATTAAATGAAGAAGAACCTTAAAATATACAAAGATAAAATATTTGCTTTAATATTTTAAAATCTACCTATAACAAGACCATCATATCATGCAAAAAAACTGAAGAAAAATACACATACATGCATTGTTGCTTCACCTAGATGAAGAATTTTACTTAGAACAATATGGAATTTTCAATTCTTAGAATACTATACCACTCAGTCTGACAGATATTAGTTTTTAGAATGGCATGCCATAAAACCAAATATTTATTTTTATAAATATTACTCACCCGAGTTGCTGTTCGAGTTTGAAGAATTTTGGAAATAGAACGTAGAACCATTTTTGAAAAATGGGTTTTTATTCAAGTCAATTTTAACACTGCTAATATCATGTATTGACGTATTTACTGCTCCGTGATTACTACCAGATGAACTAGATGAAGAACCTTATACATAACAAGACATAAAAAAATAAGAAATATAATACACATATCATTTTTCTAAAAAATTATGAAATTATAATGATACAACAAAAACAGGAAAAAATACATATGCATTATTCTTAGAACAATATTTTTTCGCTCATGCCAAAAGTTTAAATACATTCCAAAAACTTTACTCACCGACATGTTTGTTCAAATATGAAGAATTTTGGAAATAAAAGGTAGAACCATTATGGAAGAATGGATTATTGTTTAAATCAATATTAACGCTACTAGTATCATGATCTGTGCTTACTGCTACAGATGAAGGAGGACCTTATTAAAACAAAAAATCATTCATTTTTTTCGATAGAAAAATTTTGAAAAATTCTACTCACCAATATTTCCATTCAAAAATGGATTTTTACTCAAATCAATGCCATTGCCGTCAATTTGACTGACATTCACTGAAGAGGAATTTTCAAAGTGGAAGGTAGTAAGACCATTAAGAAATGGATTTTTATCTATATCTATCTTACTGCTAGCAGGAGAAGATGTCTTTGACACTGTAAATATGTCACCAGAAGAAGCAGATGCTGAAGAATCTTATTTAAAAAAAAAACACAAAAATAAAAATTTTAGAACAACATTATAGATCAAAAAATTACACAATAGTTATTTACAGTACAAGTGTGTTTATGAACATGATTACAACAACGAGCGTGAACGATTAGAACGACGAGGTCGTAGACCGAGTCGTTCTAATCACACGAGTGTTGTAATCATGTTTAAACGCACGTGTCATGTACAACGTTTTATCTACAACCGAAAAATAAGAAAATGCTGTTTTAATTTTCGTTTATTAGTCGCCCACCTTTAAACCTTTAACTATGACATTTGTCACATTTATGCTGAAAAGTCAGTTTACCCTGTCAAGTAAACGCGAACACTTTTTGCCCAGAAAAATCATTTTAAAAATTACGATGAGCGATTCCGAAAGTCCCCCTTCAGATGTAGAACTTGCCGCAGTACGTGCCACGGAATCATTATTGCCGGAAAAGTTAATATATTTAGATGTTCGTAATTGTTTTTCATTATTATAGCAACTAGTTGTGTTATAGATTCATAACACCACTAGTTGTGTTATGAATCTCATAACGTAACTGAAATACTAAAAAAATAGTGATGTAAAAACGTTATAACTAAACGGTTGTAGATAAAATATTTTTAATCTACGACAATGTTATTATGACACATTTAACATTGTCATTTTGATTGTCATTTGGATGTCATTATGGCTTTCATAATAGCACTAGTGCTATTATGAATTCATAATAACACACAAATTTTAAAATAAGAAACCAGCAAAAAAAGGTACCTAAATACGTTTATTTATTGTAAACATTAATTATAATATCAGTACAATTGGTTAAATTAATTTCTAGACGATGACAGGTGAGTTGAATTTTTAGAAAGTAAATTTATTTCCTGAGTGATTGAACTTGTTGAAGACCCATCATTGCCAGAAATGTTACCCAAAATATTACAGACACTTTTTTCCTATTTTCTTTGGAATTTTCTATATAGCTCTCTGCCACTGTGTTAGAGCGCCAACCACCATGTCTTGTAACAGTTAATAAATCCACTCCTGAATCTGCAAGCAACGACGCAGACGATCTACGGAAACAATGTCCAGTGTAGATATTGTTGTGGATTTGGAAGGCAGGAAGAATACTATTTTATACGTCATTTTCCCTTAAGTATTAACGCCAACGGTTTTTTTTTAGAATTTAGAATGAGTGGGAGGGGGGTTAATCACTGCGACCTTACAGATAGATCCATTGTGTCCCCCTTTCTTGAGTCATAACTCATCATACAGTCCCAGGGCTTTGACAAAAGCCAGTATCTGGGACGGTTTTATAGAGGGTAGTTCTCCATCTCCAATATCAGTCGTACCAAAATTCATGGCACGAATGGTTGTCGTCTCGGCGCACTCAGTGATGAGGTGTACTGTGTTTCCTCATTTTCCCCACAGAATCTGCATTCGCCGTTTCTTCTTAGTTTCAATCTACTGAGGTGTTAATTGAGGAGACAGTGTCCTGTTAAAAACCCCGTGACAATCCGAAGATTGTTCTTACTTAAACCCAGGAAGATCTGTGATTTTTCTTAATCATAAGCCCTCAGAAACTTCTTCGAGTGTCTTAGACCGTTGCAAGATTCCCACTCCAGGTTGCGGACGGAATCTTCCAAGTTTTTGAGTTCCGCCTTGAGTTGATTACCACTTGGAAAGCAGAACGGTTCTGGTCCAGTTAGTGGAGTGTTCGCTCCTTTTCTAGCTAGATCATTTGCTTTTTCATTGCCTTCTATCCCTTGGTGAGCAGGCACCCAGAGTAGGAGGACTTTGTTTTCTTTGCCTAATTTATTCAGCTTCTCTATGCATTCTTTGGCCAATTTCGAATTGATTGATACTGAGTTGATCGCTTTTAACGCTGCTTGACTATCAGACAAGATGGCTGTTTCTTGTTTCCGATAGTTGCTATCTAAGATAAGTTGTACGCATCTTTCGATAGCGTAGATTTCTGCCTGTAGGATACTAGGGTAAGTGCCCATTGGTTCGGAGTATTTAGCTCTCGGTCCAAACACTCCGATCCCTGTTCCCGTATTGGTTTTGGAAGCATCAGTATACCAAGTTATGGTATGGTCTTTTAACTGCTGGGCAAGCGTTTCGCTCTTCCAATCCTTTTTATTGCTCAATACTACATGGAGATGTTTCTCAAAGTTGTACGTTCTTAGCATATCGTCCACTGGGAGTTGCAGGAGTGGTATTTCCTTTATGAGGGTGTTCCAAGCCCCTGATCTGACAATTCTCCCAGTACTAATTCCGTTAGTGACCATTCTAATCAATGTCGCATTGGCATATCTACCAATGACAATGTGCAGTGGTGTTAGATCTAGAATGACCTCCATTGCTGCTGTTGGACAGGTTCTCATGGCTCCTGTGATGCAAACGCATGCTAGTCTCTGGACTTTGCATAGGTTTAGCCTTGCCGTCCGTTGCTCTAGTTTTGTGTACCAGGCAACTGCTCCATAAGTAATCATGGGTCTTACTATCATGGTATACATCCAGCGCAAAATGTTAGGAGAGCAGGCCCATCTATTTCCGGCCAGTCTTCTGCATATCATGAAAGCCTTTATGGCTTTGCTGGTAGTGTTCTTAATATGCCTATTCCACAAGAGTTTACTGTCCAGGGTTATTCCCAGGTATTTAACTTCCTGTGTTACGCCAACGGGTTGCTTAATACATTTTCCATTTCTGTACCCCACAAAAAATCGAGTATGCTCTGTGTTGCTTGGCCGCATAGCTATATATCTTCGAACCATTTCCACCATATTTATTTCTTCAACATTCCCTTTCGTTATAAAAAAATCTCGTGATATCTTTGTTTTCGTAAATGGAATAATGACATGAATGCATTGTCCTTCATCTTTAATATTTTACAGCTGCAGATTTGTCAACTCGATACGCCGGCAGGCTCCCGTAAGTCCTACTATCAATGAAACTTTTGTCAGGAAATAAGTTTTATCATCAGCTTCCAACAAAAAACGAGTTATGTCTTCTTTTCTTAAAATTCTGGATTTTTTTGACCGAAATCCTTCCGATTTTCTTTTTAAAAATGCAATTAGAGGGACGTACTTACTAATATCTGTATTTTTCTTCACTGATATAACTGAACGTTGCATGGAATAATATACCCAAAGTGATGAAGCCTTCCTATGTTTTGAAAGATGTTCAAAATATGCCAGGAGAACCTTTTCGTTACTACTATTCTTGATTCCTTTCCCTTTACACCAATCTTCAAGTTTTACATAGGCTTGCTCGTACGTTTGTCTTGATTTTTCGGGAAGTAGGGAATCGACAACGTTTTGCGCAATGCCTTCAATATCCGAAGGGACACTTTCAGAATCAGAATCACCCATATTAATATTACTTTTTGCTTTTTGCTAAAACTGAACTTTTAACACAAAATTGAACATCAATAATTGAGTTGTCAAAGTCAACATGGAAACAATCAACAAACACGATTACCACGGCGTCGACTAATATGGGCACCTGATAATTTTGAATTTTAATTTTTATGAGGATATCTATGATATTTTAAATTAAATCAAATCTCTTTGAATCGTCCCTCGTGTTGCGTCGTAGATTAAATTTTGAATGATACACGTTCGATACGAACTTTTTAATGAAATTCGGCTAACGCCTCGTGGTTTAACGTTGCACGCGTTTCATTATGATGTTCGTATCGAACTTGTATCATTAATAACTATTAATTCACTCAGTTTAATGACCAGGAACTTTTATGTCTCTTAGAAAAAAAAAAGATTTACAAATAATGTAAGTATTAAAATGAGTGAAATATACTATATTTTATTTTATTTCAATGTGAACTTTAAATAATATTCCACTCACCATAATGAATAGCTTCCCCATTGAGATTAAAACTGAAACCTTCTCCATCAGCTGCTGCAGAACCAACAAAATCGCAAAAGAATCTTCAGAATGATAATAAAAATGAAAAATAAATAATAAATAATTCAAACTAAAGGAATATTATCCAAGTAAAGTAAACCTACTCATTATTTGAGAAAATCATCATGCCCAAAGATATGATTCTGGGAAAGTAATATTTTCTAAGATTCTAATAAAATTTGCTGATGCAGATGAATAACAACAACAGAAAAATGTTTCTACTTGAATGCATCTAATAAAATGAAATGGCTCAAAATGAATGACCTAAATGGAGTACTACAATGTCCGTAAGAATGATTGAAAATTATTTTACTACATTTTAGAAAACCTTTAGCCATTTGCTAAAAATATTTATAATAATTTTCATGAAATATATTCCCCAAAAAATGAACGCACAGAAATCATGACAATGGGGAGATATCAAATAGGTACGACCAAATGATAATCATGCATAATCATTTCTAACAGATACTCACCAGGAGTAACAACTTGACCATTTAAGAAGGGATTGTGACTTAAATCAATGTGAGGTTTTCCAGAAGATGTAGTATTGATAGTTGTGGTACTATTCGAAGCAGTTGGTACTAAATAATAACAAATAATGTCTTAAATTGTAATAATATTTTTAGAAGTTCAAAAATAAGTAACTTATAAGGTTAATTCAGAACCTCAAAATTAGTGAAATTATTAATGGTTTCAATTATATTTTAGGTCCAGTCCTGAATACTACATAATTATTCACAATGTAGTGCTTCTCATGTAGTACATGCTTCTCCTACTCTCGAGTACATATTTAACTAAAATGATATTACTCACAAATTTTACTAAGTATCATTAGTGCTAAAGAAAATTAGAGGAGCAAGCCTCTACGCTAATTGAAACCACTAATTTATTCCACTAATTTCGTGGTTCTGGCTGAGACTATACAGGGTGCTACAAATTCGAGGTACGAGCATTGGTATCTCGGAAACCGTAAGAGATACGAAGATGGTTAAATTGGGGCAAAGTTGCTCCTTGGCATGCTTACTAAGATGCCATCAAAAAAGTTTTAAAAATTTCAAGGATTGATGAGTTTTTTGGAAAAAACGGATTTTTTTGACAACCAATTTTATTTTTTCCTGTCGTTACTTTATAGAAAATCAAAAAATTAATTGCACATTCTCGTAACCACTTTATTAGGATTATCTGATGGTATTTTTAGATTTTCAAATTAGCTGATAATTTGTGAGATACTGAGGTCAACTTAATTTTTTTAAATGCGGACCTGCATTTTTTATTTCAGGTTTTGAAAGAACTCGGTCTCCTGAGTACAATGACACAAATTACCTATAACAGATGCGAAAGAACACCGAATTACGCGTTCAGGTTTCTGTGACCTTCAGAAAGAGTTCATAGACAATCCGCATCAATGTATAGTTTGGGTTATTATTTGTTTGGGTGAAAATAATCTGCACCAATATGTTATCGAGGCATACAAAAAGGTCCACCAGACTTCGAGACATACGAAAAATCAAGTCCATTTTGCGTGTGTCGCAATTTTCACACCTTAAAAAATTAGTTTTTTATAGCTATAGCAACTGCAGCGACTATAAAAAAAGCTGTGTGATTTTCATAGAAAATAAGGGCACCTGTAATTCATTTGAGAATGTTATAAATCGCTAAAAGAGGTTGGATTTCTATTAATATTAAATAAATTTTATTAAAAATGAACTAAAATTGTTAGTATCATTAAAAACAATTCAAATTCAAAAATTGTATCAGTCAAATTCCCTCATTTAAGGTGAATATTAAAGTAAATATAAATACAGCTCATTCTAAGCTCTACTTATCTTTAAGAAAAATTTAAATCATTGTTGCAATTGGGCCTTAATGCCATTTCGAATGAACAATAGTATTAATAATGTACATTATAATAATAATAAATTTTATATCATAGTGTGTATTAAAACTACTAAAACACTTTTAAATTGGTATTATATTAACAACTTTTGTTTTTAATCCAAAAAAAGTTACCAATTTTCTCAATCAAAATATTTGTGGTCCTGAAATGGACCTTCGTTTTCCCATGTTCGTCAAGGTAGGTAATGGGTAAACGGTAAAAAACAGGATAATGAAATTTAAAAAATTACAAAAATTGTTCGAAAGTGCCTCCCTCTTGCATTAAACCAAACGATCATAAAATCCCCTCCTCACATTGGATAACATATCAGGGATGACAGTGTCAAAGGCATTAAATATTTTCTGCCTTAACTGCTCCAAGTTTTGAATTTCTTCATGGCCGTAAATTTTAGATTTTATGTACCCCCATAAGAAGAAATCATTCACCGAGAAGTCAGGTGAAATTAAACGTCAGTCTAAACAAAACTGTCATTTTTGAAAACTTGTCAAAATTTGGACACACGCTAAATGGACTTGATTTTCCTATGTCTCGAAGTCTGTGGACTTTTCTGTATAATCTCGCAGTAATTTAATAGATTGTTCGTCATATTATATCAGCTCGTAGGTGATTAGGAAAAAAAAGATATTTATAGTATAAAAAATTAATTTATTTAACAAAATTTAATTAAAGATGTGACAAAATAGTTACATTTCTATTGGTTCTATCGGACTTTTTTCAACTATATAAATCTTTATTTTTTGTAAACTTTAATGAATAAAATATTTTCAATCTAATAAATAATTTAATGATGTAAATAAGAGGAAATTTCTCACATGGGTGGTCAAATTCTATAGTTTTCATTATATCAAACAGCCTCTGAACGTTTTCTTCAGTGCAAAACTCATCAAAATTTAATTTAAATAATTTTTCCAGCCTGTAAATAAAATGAACAAATTTTTCCACTTTCATGATCAAAGGCTTTTAAATGGGTAAATAATTTCGAGTTATCCAGAGATTCGGATTTTTTTGCAAATTTTAGACAAATATCACATTGATGTATTTGAACACCCTTTTTAATGATGTAGTCAAACATAATTAAAGGCATTTTGAGTTGAAAACATTTCTCAGAGGCTGTTTGATATAATGAAAACTATAAAATTTGACCACCCATGTGAGAAATTTCCTCTTATTTACATCATTAAATGATTAATTAGATTGAAAATATTTGATGTATTAAAGTTTACAAATAAAGATTTATATAGTCGAAAAAAGTCCGATAGAACCAATAGAAAGGTAACTATTTTGTAACATTTTTAATTAAATTTTGTTAAATAAATTAATTTTTTATACTATAAATATCTTTTTTTTCCTTATAAATAAACACATTTGCATCCCATTTTAAATAAGATATACAAATTACCAAAACTTAGAAATAACAGTTCAAAAGTTCAACAAAAATCCTACACGCGTTTTTAAAAAGAAACATATAACCACGCACTATGTCATTCCAGCAAGCGAATACGACACAGCATAGGTTTCCGGACTAAACGACTGGTGTATTTACACCACTCAATAGGCGTGTCGGGTTTGCCGAGCGGTTTCCGATGCAGTCGCTTTCTTTCGCATCTGTTGTAGTTAATTTGTGACAATGATATGCCACACTTGATACTTTCTTTTGTTTTGGGTACCTTAACAGTAACAAAATTATTTAACTGTTATTTAAAATAATTTGAAGTTCGACTCTGGTTTTTTAATTTATTTAATATAATTATATTCAGCACAACAATATTGATCAGCGCTAATTAACATTGAATAAGGAAAATCACGCCAATTGAAAGATTCAAATAATTAATATCCAGGTCAGCAATTTAAAGATATCTATTATTTATATATAATAGATATAACAATATATAAAATTTTTTATTGTGAATTTGAAATCTCAGTGAACGATCTAATAATATGCATAATATTAATAGTAGTTATTATAAATAAATCAACCTGTACAAACTAGTTTCTAATACTCTGCATGTTCGAAAGGGTTACCACCCTCTATAATGCATACAATTGTTTTTCGTTCAATCTTATTTATAGCTCTTTGAACAGATCTTCTTTTTATTCTTCCGAATTCATAATGTACTTTTTAATTGTTTTTTATTACACGTTAATTGTTTTTGTACTCTTAATGTTGAAATGTATTGATTTCAAATGCCCAAAACAATTTTTATTGATGTTCCTTATTCAATGTTAATTAGCGCTGATCAATATTGTTGTGATGAATATAATCAGATTAAATAAATTAAAAAATCAGAGCCGGATTTGAAATTATTTTAAATAACAATTAAATAGTTTTGTTATTGTTAAGGTACCCAAAACAAAAAAAAAGTATCAAGTGTGGCATACCATTATATTGAGAAAGCCGAGTTCTTTCAAAACCTGAAATAAAAAATGCAGGTCCGTATTTAAAAAAAATAAGTTGGCCTCTGTATCTCACAAATTATGAGCTAATTTGAAAATCCAAAAACACCATCAGATAGCTCTAATAAAGTGGCTATGAGAATGTGCAATTAGTTTTTTAATTTTCTAAAAAGTAACGACAGGAAAAAATAAAATGGACTTTAAAAAAAATCCGTTTTTTCTAAAAAACTCAGCAATCCTTGAAATGTTTAAAACTTTTTTGATGGCATCTTGGTGAACATCTTAAAGCGCAACTTAACCATGTTCGTATCTATTACGGTTACAGAGATACCAATGCTCGTACCTCGAATTTGTAGCACCCTGTATAGTTCTTGGTTTGTACTGTAAGAATGAAGAACCATAATAAACTTTTAAGTGTGATTATTCATGTGATATGCACTATACAGACAGTTTAGATGTCAAAGATGACAGTTTTAATGTCAATTATTTAATTAACGGTTTGTAGTTAAATTAACATGAATTTTGACTTACCAGCATGGGCAAAACTTCCTGTCAAGAACGGGTTCTCGTTCAGATCGATTTTGACTCCGCTGTGGAAACCCTGAAAGTCAGTACCCCCGGAACTGCTGAAACTGGAAGTAGATGCGTACGATGATGGTCCAGACGGTCCGGATGGTCCAGATGATCCTCCATTCAAAAAAACATTCTTCTGAAGATCGATTGGAGCGAATCCATCTTCACCATCTCCTGTTAGTTTGTATTCAGTTTTACTTGTGACGCATTTACCTAAAAATGACAATATTGTATATTATTCCAAATATACAGTGCTGGTCGTATACCGGATGCGTCTCAAAACTATAACTTTTCTAATTTTCTCAGTTAAAAAAACGAGATTTGGTATGTTAGTATATGACATAAATTAGGATTGATTGACGTATTCAATTGTTTTCGATCCCTTCCTGTTTCACCGGAACTGACTACAACTTTTGATTTTTAAATTGCACTTGCCGTAATTTTTTACTTTATTCGACAGAAAATATCACTCTGAATAGAATGACATATCATATGTCAACTTTTGACATTTTTGCATATGGTTTATTTGAAATTATAACATAGGGTTCATAACGAAAATTTGACTCAAGTGTGTGATATCAAATTATTCGTAAAAAATGTTTTTTCCAAATATGCTAATGAGCCACTCTCGTTCCATTTGAAAGAAAAAATTGAGATATGATTTAAATACGATTTGGGCATCTTTTAACCGGCCAGGACAACACACTAAAAATATATACAGGGTGTCCCAGAAATAAATGCAAGTATTTTAAGGAGTGAATAATAATTGGTAAAAGAAACATATTCTCTCTTTATCGTTTTTCAAATAAGTCCAAAATAACGGAGTTAATTTACTTTGAAAATTTCCAAATAAAAACATTTTTTTGCTAAAATTTTGAGAACCGCTGGATCTTTTCTGGATTTTCTTTTTCGTAAATTTGATCTACTACCTATGTTGCCATATTAGAAAGAAATTATGTTTTTTAACTAAAAACTAACAAAATTTTTAAAAAATTCCGAATTTTCAAATTTCTTTTTTCGTGAAAAAAAAACTCAAAGACGTGTTTCTGAGGTTAAACTACCAGTTATACTACCAGTTAAAATTCTTGCACTTATTTCTGGGACACCCTGTATATAGACGATCAAATCTATTTTTCCAAGGCTCCAAATCTATTTTTCCAAAGCTCCTCCGAAAATGTCAAAAGTTGACATAGATGTGTCATTCTATGCAGAATGTCACTTTCAATCGAATAAAGTAAAAAAGACCGAGGGTGCCATTTAAAAATCAAAAGTTGTAATAATTTCCGGTGAAACAGGAAGTGACCAAAAGTGTCATATACTAACATACCAAATCTCGTTTTTTTATCTGAAGAAATAAAAAAGTTATAGGGGTGAGCCACTTTTGAGACGCACCCGATATAGAACTATAATAAATTTTGCGAGAGAGATTTACTACTGGATAAAAAAACGTTGCCCAAGATCTTTTGGTTCGGAAGAAAAATATTTAGTTGCCGCCTTTGTACCGGGTGGCCAACTAAGAATGGACGCCGGCTGTATCTCAGAAACTACTTATCGTATAACTTTGGGAAAGAAATTCTAATAAGTAAATCGATCAAGAGAAATCGTTGGAAATTATTTTCAAGTTCGAAAGATGCCCGCTAGGGGGCGTTTCTCTAAGAGCCAATCAGAAAACAGGGGGTTTCTCAAAAATATGCTGGTGAACAGGTATTTTAAATATTACTATTATAATCATCGAGAAATTTGTATTTTTTTTTCATATAAAGTATTTTGCTCTATCTCATAAAATATAGTGGTGGAAGGTTAAACTTGCTTTTATTAAAATAAGGATAACTCTGGTTTGGGTTACGCGATTTAAACACACTGGGACTCGTTTAAAAGAGCTTTTCTTCCTTAATGATCTCCAGTATAAATTTTGTTTCCACAATTTTTTTCGTGGTAGCTAGAGGGCGCTGTTTGACATCATAACAGATTGCATAAAAAAATAAATAGGAGGCTATACTTCTTTTTGTACAGTTAAATAGAGCACAAAATTTTCAAAATATCAGCGCAAACCGCAACTCTCTATCTTCTCTCTAACCGGAGATATTAAGAGAACAAATCATGTTAGGCTGCCGTTTATTATTATATGGTCTAAAAATTATAGTAGTAAGCTAGTAAACAAAAACAGGTAAATTGGTTACGTCAAAATATCAAAACGTTTAAGTTCAGTTTTCCTGCATCCGAATTTCGGGCGTTTTCTTAAAAAAAATGACGTCATAATTATTTAAACATGTTTATATGTAACATTATCATCCATCCATATAATTTTTACGAATTTTTTGGTAGATATATATGTAAGTAGTTGTCAGATTAAAATGTCCGAAAGTCGGACAATCAATAATTTTATTAAAGTTTCCAAATATTTTGTGCCGCCATAATTGCTTTTAACAGAAAACGGCCAAATTTCGTATTGTCGAAAACTAGGGGTTTATTTCATGTAACGTCATTTAGTTAATAGAGAACAACGGCATACGGTCGAGTCGGCCGCTGCTGGCACGTAGACGTAGACGTTAAGAATCTTTTACGTGTATAAAAAATAAAAATATAAGAAATGCGCATGCGTACGTAAACGTTTACGTGTTTGTAGGCCGACTCGACCGTATGCAGTTGTTCTCTAATAATCCAAGTTCGTCCTTGATTTCACGTGTTTTCGTGATTTACCTGTTGTTTGTGTTATTTGTTATTATATTATAAAGTTTATGTCGTTTGGGTCACTTTTCATATAGCACCAAACGAAGGTGCGAATCTTAACAATATGCACTACTGGTTCAAATCTACCCTTGAGGCAAATAGTTCAGCACCAAGACCGTTGGCCGGTAAATGTTTACGCAGAAATTCTACGATGGCGAATGATTGGACTATTTTAATTATCTGAATGAAATTTTTTTGTTAAGGGAATGAAAGGGAATGAAAGATTATAAGGAAGCCCTTATAAAGTGGCTATGAGAATGGTCAATTAGTTTTTTGATTTTCTTAAAAGTAACGACAGAAAAAAATAAAATTAATTTTCAAAAAAATCCGTTTTTTCCAAAAAAACTCAGCAATCCTTGAAATTTTTCACACTTTTTTGATGGCATCTTGGTGAACATCCTAAAGCGTAACTTTGCTCCAATATAAACATGTTCGTATCTATTACGGTTACCGTGATACCAATGCTCGTACCTCGAATTTGTAGCACCCTATATATGGATCTTAAGGATATCATTATAGAAATTTAAGATTAGGATTTAGAGATATAAGATTATTATTAAGAACTTATTATAAAGGTACATACCAGTGTCAGCGCATTTCTTAAAATGCTTGTAGGCGTTTTTGAATGGACTGTCATCTTGCATCCACCAAAAGTCTTGACCATTTCCAGTTTGGAAAGCACTGTGGACTTCTCGCGAGTCGGCGGGCGGGTGTGCTTGACCTTGAAGAACGTGACTAACGTCACCAAAGACTGTGACGAGGAGTGTTATCCCCACTATAATTAGTGGAGACATTCTTCTTTAAAACTAACCTATAACAAAGAAAACACTATTTTTAGTATGTTTTAATTAATGTAAATGGTACAATGAGTCATTTTAAACGATCTTATGACACAGGGTGTCCTAATATTTCTTGGACATAGAATTACTGTATCAAAATAAGTTAATTACCATACAATATTCTTAAAATGATCTGTAAACTAATCAGCAAAATCAACACGAATATGCCTATGTTCAATAAATTGCATTACCTCAATGTTATAAATAAACAATAGGTACATGTCTTCTAATTTTTAGGTCAAGTTTGTCCGATGTACCAGCTGCATAAGTACAATAAGAAAAATATTGACAATTTTCTTATTACATACACTCGAATAATACTACGAGTCGAACAATTTTCCCTGAATTCTAGGCAATTTAAATCATATATGGCATCATTAAAGAATTTGTCCATCGTTTTTTATTCTGTTTACTATTCGTTTTTAATCGCTGTCATTATCAGGTGATCTCATCAGACTATTTTTAAAATAAAACATACAGTTTTATGGATTTTTATATGGCTGAGTGATTGACCAAAAGTCTAAACAAAAACAGAAGGTAGATAATATGTGGGAATGCTTTTTCTTATGGAGTGTTCTTGAAAAAGTTTGTAGTAAATAAAGTAATTAAGTTATTTAACAAATACGGAAATAAGCAAATGGAGGGACATATTAAGACAAACACAGCTTATTTGCATTTATGGAAAATGAAAGGATTAATATCAAATGGTGGTTTACTTACTCTTTTGGAAGTATTGTCACCTCAGAGAAGAATAATAATTATTATAGTATTTTATTATAGTTATGTAATTATTAAATGATTTTGGTGCAAATAGAGATTTTGTCATTTATTTAAACACTTATTTTCTCATTAAATGAAGATCCCGGAACTATGCAAATGACGGTTTCATATCTAGGAAAAAAGATTATATTCGGTGGTCAAATCCAACTGTAGACGGTGTGTTTGTATTTGGTTTGTACGGGGTGTCCCATTTTTGTGTGTTTTATAGGATTTATCGCTTATGAGTAGAGATACAGAGATGCGGTTTTCACATGTGCACATTTATTTCCTGACATTGTCATTCGTTTTGACATTATAGTTTTGTATCACGACAGATTACAAATTTTTGGTCTAAATCAATTATGTTGTGATACCTTAAGCAAAAAAAAGCTTTGTTGATGCAAATGATAACTGTTTGGATATTCATAATTAGTTTATTTTTAAATAATTGAAAAAAAGGAGAGCTCGAAATTTGGACACGCATCTGGTATTTATCGATTTATAGAAAGCCTATGACACGGTGCCTTTGAAGAAATTATTTGAAATCTTGGTTGAGCCAAATGTTAGTAAAACATATATCAATGCAATCTGGAATATGTACAAAAATCCACAAAGTATGATCAGACAGGGGAAGTTCCTATAGGAATCCTTCCTGACATCAAAAAGCCTCAAACAGGGGTGCAGTTTATCACCTACCTTATTTAAAATATATGTATATCCAGGAGGCATTGAAAAACTGGAGAAGGAGGAGTAGAGCTATGGGAATAGAGATTGACAACCACTGTCTATCGACCTTGTTCTATGCAGACGACCAAGTTATCATTGCAGGTTATGAGGAGGATGCCGACTATATGTTCAGGAAACTTGAGGAAGAATACGATAGATGGGGTCGAGGAAGAATACGATTCGCGGAAACCGAATACCTGAAAGTAGGAGAACAAACTAAAGATGCTGAACTACATATACATGAAATTAGAAGGTGTAGCGAATATAAATATTTAGGAAGTATTATATCTGAAGAAGGGGGAAACTCCAAGAAAGATATACATAGCAGAGTTCAACAAGGTAAGACAGTGATCGGTCTTTTAAACCCACTCCTGTGGTCAAATAAAACATCCAAACAAAGCTAAGGATTTACAAAGCAATCGTAGAGCCAATTTTACCATACGATGCCGAATGCTGGCAATTTACATCAAAAGAAAAAAGGATGATCGAGTAAGTGGAGATGGACTTTCTTAGAAGAGCATGTCGAATATCAAGGATGGAACACATTAGAAATGAGGAGATCAGGCAAAGAACAAGGCGGATATATAACAGCACCGACACCATCAAATCGAGACGAGAATGGGAGGAGAAAGATGGCCAAAAAGGGCAATGGAGTATCGTCCATAAAGTAGAAGGAAAAGAAGAAGACCTACAACTACGTGGTTAGATGGAATAGACCAGTACATGAGAGATAGAGCTATTAACGAGGTAGAATGGCAAAATCGAACAATATGAAGGTTGAAATGCGGCAGAAGTTGTAGGACCACCGCTTTATATGTATATACAGGGTGTTTCAAAACAAATGCGAAAAACTTCAGGGGGTGATTCCTTGTTGAAAATAAAGGGTAGTTTGCTTTATAAACGTTGGGTCAAAAGTCAACCATTAGGGAGATATCGCGGTACAAAGATGGCGGAAAAATAATGTTTTTATTTTTTATCTTGAAAGCGAAAAGAGATAGACTAATGAAATTTTACGGAAGCATTACTGTTATGAAAACACACTTTCTGGTAATTTTTTCACTTTTTTAAAATGAGTGGAAGGGGTTGAAATAAACTACCCCTATCATTCCTGTTAATGAAATTTAAAGAAAAATCTTATCAAACACATGCAAAAAAGATTAATTTTGATAGTTTAGTTTATTTAGAAACTTTTTTATCTCTTGTGTTTTTTTGATAAAACTCACCGATTTGAAATTAAAAAATAAAATGTAAAGCATTACATGTCAGGACAAAAAACATTTTTAGATAAAGAATCTAGTGGGCAGCTGTAATTTTTTTAGGAAAAAGTCTAGTCGGCCGCTGTCACTTTTTAGGATGTTTCTAATATTGTTTTATTTGACATTACCCTACTGCAATACGTTATTATCTAGATTATAATTATTATCATTATTATCACTAGATTCTTAATCTAAAAATATTTTTAGTCCTGACATGTAATGCTTTACATTTTATTTTTTAATTTCAAATCGGTGAGTTATAAAAAAATTACAAGAGATAAAAAAGTTTCTAAACAAACTAAACTATCCAAATTAATTTTTTTGCATGTGTTTGATAAGATTTTTCTTTAAATTTCGTTAACAAGAATGATAGGGGTAGTTTATTTCAAGCCCTTCCACTCATTTTAAAAAGTGAAAAAATTACCAGAAAGTGTGTTTTCATAACAGTAATGCTTCCATAAAATTTCATTAGTCTATCTCTTTTCGTTTTCAAGATAAAAAATAAGAACATTATTTTTCCGCCATCTTTGTACCGCGATATCTCCCTAATGGTTAGGGTTCCCAACCGTCACGGTTTGGCCGGGATTAACCAGGAATCAGAAAGTGTGTCCCGGCGAAAGTTTTGCCTTGGCCGGGACCTGGAAACTAAAAAAATGTGTACTACACACATAATTTATTTTATTTTCTAATATTTAATGTATTGTTTCAGTTATTTAAAAGCTTAAAAATAATTGTCCCGGAATCGCCGATACTCAAGTTGGGATCCCTACTAATGGTTGACTTTTGACCCAACGTTTATGAAGCAAACTACCCTTTATTTTGAACAAGGAATCACCCCCTGAAGTTTTTCGCATTTGTTTTGAAACACCCTGTATATATATATAATTTATTTTTGTTTCCTAAAATATTTTGATTAAAAGAAAATATGTAAAAGTGGGCAACGCTGTGCCGGTCAAACATAATGACGTGACTAAAAGTGTATTTGATACGAACTTATATTTGGTTAGCTCAGCTGTTATACATGATGATGTTATTAACAGCTTATATAATATTATTCTTAATACCCAACATTCAATCAACAAAACAAATATAAATAATAAAAAGAAAAGTACTTTAAATCCGTTTACCGTGAATTGAACACTTGATAATACCAATTAAATTGAACACGAGTTAGTTTCTCAGTTATAAACATTAGATTATTTCAATTTACATAATATATCGTGCTTATAATTTGTTCGTAATCATTGATTAAGAAAAAAAAATATAAATACAACTAGCATTATCACGATCAATTACAATAATAGGATGAAGTTCGTGAGAGAGGCAGTAACATAGGTACCTGGGTAATGAAAACCATAAAATTGCGGTTTATGAGTTTTGGTCCAATAACATCATAGGTCACACCGAAATGATTGTAATAGATTTAGTTAACCAGTATGAGGAGCGATAAACAATCATTGTAACAGTTGGCTAATCTGATTTTCCCGGCTTGATTGACAAAAAAATTAAGAATATCTAGTATTTTACAGCTTTTATCTTTTACAGAATAAATATAAGCTTATATCGTCTTGGTTACGGTAACCATAAATAGAGTCATATTTCCCTTCGGACATTCTTAACGGGAATTAAGATGTCATAATTTCCTCTACCTTTTATAGATAACAACCATGAAATACAATAGAGATTTTGAGTAACACTATCTAACTACTCTAATAATTTATTTATATCATTAATATCCATATAATAAATTAACACTTTCATCGACATCCTCTCTGAACTCCATTGACATCAATCGTCAATTTATAAACAGGTCATTTATTACAATAGTATCCTGGCAAAAAAGTTCCTACCAGCAGCGTTAATACAATAATTATACCGGAAGATTAATAAATGCAACATTTGTGTCGTTTTAAAACAGGACAAAATATACTAAATTCGGTAAGAAATAAACTTATCTCATAGATAAAGGGAACAAGTTTAAGTTGAAACGCTTGCCGCCAAAACTTATAATTGTTTTGGAGCGCATACATTGTAGGGCGCTGTTATAGCGGTTGCTAAGAACAACCGCCAAACAAGAACAGAAATAATTTTCTCTTGCCAGAATCTTCAAAAATTATAAAATCTTTCAAAATTTAAACCGCTCTCATTGAAAAAATACCGAAAAATGTTTAAAGCGTCCATTTTCAAAGTAATTATTGCTATCTTGTGAATTTAATTTAAATTTTATTTGC